GATACTGGCTCGCTGCTCTCTTCCTGGACCACCTCCATACCCAGAGGTTGACTCCTCAAAGCAGGAGCCCATAAATGAAATTAAGGTGTCAATTAGTCAATTATGGCTTAATAACTCGGAGGGCAGACGTTTAGAAGCAGAGTGTACCTCAGCTAAGTTCATTTCCTCTGGTCCAGGAGTCTTTCGTCCTGGCCGCACGTCACTCTTCCACCCAGAGCCGCTGAATAAAGCCTCTGCTCAGTTAATTTTATTTTCCGTTAGGTATCTTTTTTGGATCAACAATTTCCTCTGCTTGTTTTATTTTGAGTCACATTCAGTTATTTATATTTACGTTCCTGCCCCCTCCAATGCAGGGATGTACTTTTTTCTTCCCCAATTTGGCTTTAGAGACTTTTATAATTTAGTAATTAAAATCTTTGATAGGCTTTTGAAATTGCATCTAATTGAATTTAATGGGGAGATGAATTTCAATTTTATTTGATTACCGGGACCCCTGGCATAGGTATTTATGGAAAAAACTCTACAAAAATATGCTGTGTGGGCTAAGATGGCATAATAAAATTAGAGGTAATCAGATTTCTCTGTCGTGAATTTCGCTCTAATTTCACTATAATTTTCCATTAGATAGCTAGTTTACAAATATTTGCTCATCTGCGATGGGAGAAGCTATCTGTCTAAAATGATTATGGTCAGGGCCTTCAGAAATGTGGCCCTTTCTCTCATTCCCTTTTAAAACCAGATTGCGAGAGACCGAAATTAGGAAGATTACATTATGACTGTCTGCATCCGGGAGAGATACTGAAATGTAATGATGGCAGACAGGGGATGAAAGCTGCGTCAAGACAAATGTTTAGACTTTTAAGTAATGTTTTTTAAGTGAACTGGACATGCCAGCCTACCACTAGATAGATGTGCACCTTTCTTTGCTCCAGGAACATCTTTAACCTCTTTTTTTTTTCCAGGCCCATTTTCATTTGTTTGCAAAATGATGATAGGGTTCATTTAATAAAGAGATTTTCATTATAAAGATCACCGCCACAAGTCGGCCAATTGGTTTATGATAAGTAACTTCTGACCGCTCCTTTTGGAGATATGCCCACATTTTGGTATGCAATACGCTTACCCCGGGAAAAATAAATATATAATGCTATCCAAATAGACGTGAGGGGGAATAATATCCAACATCACAGGCTTCGCTAGAACAATACAAGGGCAAATGCTTTCTCAGGCCTTCTTTTCAAGCCACTGCACTAGACTCCAGATTTGTCATATTCAATTTCCTGTCAATTTCACAATTGAGATTTGAGCGGGGGAAAAAATCCATTTTAAACCTCTGTGGGAAAGCTTCTTTTTCAGGCCAAGGAGATGATGATGATGCTCCCTTTTCTGTCTTTTTTTATTTCGTTTTTTTTTTTGTGATGCCCTCCTCCTCACAGTCGTCCGCTCAGTCTGTGCCGTCCCACAGGCCGAGACAGCGAGAGGGTTCAAACACAATCTAACTCCCAGCAAAGGTCAGTTTTCTCACTCCGCATGGCCCCGGGCCCGAGGTACAAAAGCCCCTTAATTCACATCTTTCAACTGGGCGCTGGCTTTTGTCCCGCTGGAGCGAGGCGCTTGGAGCGGGCGGCCATCAGACCAGCCCCTCCTGGAGTGCGCGGTCAGGGGCAGCTAAACGTCTGGCCCCTGCATCCCTTTGACGGATGTAGCCCTGCCATGTCACAGTCCCCCCTCCCCGCTCGCCCCCATGCCCTGAGCATACCATCATAATGGGCCACATCAAACGCCATTCAGCTCCTCTCCGAGAAACAGAAATGGCAGCTAAAAGAAAAATGATCTGCGAACACTGGCCGTTCCCTACCGTACAAAACGTTCCGCTGGATCGGTGGACGCTCGTTGCGTGTCTTGTTACGGTGTCAGTCAGCGCTTTGAATGTGCTCGACACGTGTTGCTGTACTAATTCAAAAATGTCCCGTGCATAAAGGTGGCATTATGTTGTTTTGTTGCAAAACTTTTATGATGTTGGCAGAGATCGATAGGTGTGGTGCGTCTGCTGATATTTTGCATGTTTAGGGTCTGATGACTGACTGCGCTGGCTCTTCCCTTCTGGATTATTGAGTTTAAGGTGGGAACATTTTGCCATTGTTGCTTTATGAGTCATCCGCATAATCACTAAATCAACCAAAACCAGTTTTATGCTCACAAATGAGATGTAACAGTTTGCAAACAGGAACTTGAGATTGACTAATTTCTCACAGTTATGAGACAGTACCCAGAATATGCATTTCCCCTTTTTATTGGGCTTATTTCTCAGTGCTTTCAAGAAATTAAGCTCATTTTGTTTTGGCCAAAACTTGGCACTTCCTGCCTGTTGTTTACTCATATCATTTGCGATTCAAGTTGCAAATGAACATATTTCCAAAGTCGACTGTGTTTAGATAGAAATATGCTGAAAATATGCTGTCCGGGTGCACTTTTGCATGCCACAGCGGAAGAAACTGCCAGGCAAATAAGGGCTTTGTCTTATAAAGTATTCATTGTCACCTGGTAACGGCTGCCGTTTATCATTTCACCTGAAATTGCAATGAAAACTGATACCTTATCAGAGGGACAAGCACACAGAGAGCAGGCAAAGATGAATGAAGAAGAGAAGTAGGGAAAAAGGGAGGGAGAAGAAGGGAACGGGGGATGGGACATGTAGGGTTTTTTTCCCTTCCTCGTAATATGCAACCAACTGTTCCGAGGATAAGGTTACTTCACCATGTGAGCACTCTTCAATACTTAAGTTTTTTTTTTTTATGAGGAAACTTTAAAATATGCAATAAAATGTAACTGATACTATCCTTTTTTTCTTTTATATAACCACTCTAGTTTTACACGTGAATTTGCTGGTATGCTTTTCTTTTCTTTTTTTGCAATATTCCGCAAACTTCCTGTTTTCAGTAAATAACACTCATAAAATGAACTGCGATAGTCAAATGTACAGTAGGCCAGAGAGGGTCTTTCCCACAACACGAGATAAACAAAAACCAGAACACTTTGTTCATTTTAAAACAGGCATGCTGTTATCATCAGAATCGCATGCAAAAATGTCCGACTGATGTATCTAATGTGCTTGATATTTTCTCTGAGCCTTTGAGTTTTCCCTCCCTCCTCATTTTCATGGAATCGTGGAAGGCTCCTCCCCGAGAGACTTGAAAGGCTAGAAGAGCCCAAAGATGGGAAGGCCAGCCCACTAAGGGGAGGAAAAAAGTGTACTCAGGTTCCTCCACTGCTGTAATTTCCTATCTGCCTATTCAGACATCGCCAACTGCTTGGTGTGTGTGTGCGCGTGTACAGGAGCAGAACCGTAGACCGAGAAAGAGAGAGAGAGAGAGAGAGAGAGAGAGAGAGAGAGAGAGGCAGGAGGAGCAGTCGAGGAAGGGGCCGGCTCTGAATTCTCTCACCTACCCCCCGTCAAACCACAGGAAGGAGGGGCCAAGCCAAGCTGCCAATCAACCTCACTCGTGGCAGCCGGCATTATCTCTGCTACAAACTATTGACAGATTACATGTCAAGGCGTTTAGTACATGATTGAGAGCAGAAAAG